TTGAGTGTATTTGAACACATACAACTAATTCTGTAGAAATATTAAACATTTTCTTGTAGTCAATTTACTTTCTACAGATTATCTCTGAAGTTTTATCAGTATATATTGTTGTGTTTTTTTTTTAATCCTGGACAAAACTTTACTTTAACTCTTGTCTCTCTAGTTTATGCACCAAAACTCCTGCATTTCGAACTAGGAGGTAAAGTTTGATTCCTTTGTTGTAAAATTCAAGATATTTTTTTTTTGTATTTTTTTCAGAGAAGATAGATATAAAGTCATGAACCTAACTTACGGTTAATGGTTAATAAAAGGAAGATGCCTCTAACAGACTGTTCTTATTATCCTTTCCATGATTTAATTCTTCTTGCATTCTTTGAATAGCCAAGGAATAAAGAATCGTCAAACATGAAGAGTGAATATTTACAACCAAATGAAAGCATATTAATGTTGTTCTAATAGCATGAAACGAAAATGTAGTTTTCGAATTATTTTAATTATGAAGATTTAGTACACAATTGATGGCTTATTTCTCTCATTTAAATGATGTCCACATGGTAACTTCAGCATGGGATAAAACGTTTTAAGAAATGATTGTCACAGATAAGTTTCTTGATGATACATCCATTTACCAAGTAGAAGCATAAGTTCATAAGTAATAACATAACATAGGCCTTTCAACTGCCGCTGGGGTTCGATGAAAAGAACAATAACCCGTTACCGGAACTTGTTTTCGGCGAGTCCGAGGAAGCTAACTGTTTTTAAGCATGTCAAATTTTAGCATTTCCAAAGTGTTCCTTCACTGTCAGCGGAATCCAGTGTTTTTAAAATTTAGCTCAAATGTTTAACTTATTTATCATGTAGTTACCGACACTTCACAATAATATATGTTAAATTTTTAATAAAAATAGAAAGTGAAATCCATCCCTCTTCTTAATTTTGACCTGATTTAATTTTTATACTTGATGGTTCTTCTTCGTGCTTAGTGAAAAGAATAATATAATTTATTGTTGCATTTAATTGTAGAAATATATATCTTTATAGATGAAGCACAACAATGCACACACAAAAAACATGGCATTATATTTTCTTCTTCATAACAACTGTCGGATAGAGTTAAAAATCTTGAATATAGTCCATTCCCCATTCATTGATCCCGTTATTTCAGGTATAGAGTGAAGACATTCTCCTTGTTTTGGTCAATCCTTTTGTGTACCAAAGAATATAAGGAACCCTTTTGTGAACATAACAATACCAATTGAAGCAGCCTATATGTCATTCCTATAAACGATAACTCAAAAATCGGCACTTTGTTGATCGTTTTTTACACTTGAGTTACCTGTCCTTAAAACACAACATCTTACAAATCAAATATTAATAATTAATTTTTTTATTATTTAATTAAAGGTATGTATAGTTTATAATCTTCTTTTGAGAATTTCATGTACCTACAAATCTATCTATCAACTGTTTTTTTACCATATTTGCCTATTGAAAAATTAGTTGAAAGGCCTACATAACATAGTACTCCGATGAGGAAAAGAAGAACTGCCGATTTTTACTTTTCCCAATAATGTATTCTCTCTTTGGGAGACCGGTGCTTTTATTTGATTGTAATTAATTAATCTGATCCGACATGGAAATAGAACTTGCTAACTTTGATTTTTCTGTGTTGTAAAGTACTTAAGTTTGCTCGCATAATTGCAATCAAATTTCAAGAACTTTAAATGTATTGTGATCCCGCATTTCAGATGAAGCAATCTTTTCTGAATTTCAAGAATTACTCCTGTTCACAAAATTGATATAACGAATAATGGCTGCCTATATTTTGAATTTTGCTACATGTTTCCAAACTCTTTGAAGGTTTCATAAGTTAGCAGAGATGTTTTTCCGATTTTAATTAATGATTGATGATTTTTATATATTCAGCTCACACATTGCACCTACAAGTAGTTAAAACATCCATCTTTGCCATCAATTTAATTGCTCCATATCCCATGACTTCCATACAAGTAATCTAAATGCATTAAAACGTAAAAATTATGCATATTGTTTAATTCATTTTGGTTTTTGATCTTAACCTAAAGCTCTCAGATCACTTAAATGTCAATAAAAGCTATGTTTGTAGCTTTTGTCGTTGAATGTTGATAAAGTTAATTAATAAGGATAAGTATAAAAGTAAATTGATAAGCCCAAGAATTGTATTTTGCAAGAATTATAAATAAAATCATAAGGGTGTTTATTCTACTCTGAAAGACATAAATCTGTCCAGGAATTAAAGGCAGATGATCTTTCAATCTTCTTTGGACCAGTGCTTTTTTCAATCGAAATTCCAAGCCTTCAATTTATCACCAATTTTTTACGGAAATAGCTAGGACTATCTCTCGGGCTGAGAAAGACTTTTGAAACTGAATTAAGATGACGAAGGAGATAGGCAGCAGGCAATCAAAAACTGTTTCCTGTGTAATACAAGTAGACCATCTTCCAATAGACATCTTAATATGTGTTCGATTATCCACCAGATCTCATTTTTCTACCGAAAGACAATGGCTTCAATATTTTACAAAATATCTTCAAGAACACTGGATTGTCAATGAGACTGACTCAGGTATAATAAGACGGAAAATACATTTATTTTAAGGCTATACACCACTGGGACTCAAACCTTAATTGTGTACAGTAATACAGCAATTACCAATAGGAGAGGGTAAGGACAAGTAACAATTGAGGAAATTTCCCTTGAAGATTAAACAGAATGGAAAGGATGATATTTACTAATTTTTACTTCACATTTTATTCATGCATGTACGCCTGTTATCAAAGTTACAACAATGTAACTTTATTACACAACAATTTAATTTCAGGAATCTTATTTGTTTCACAGGGGTGTCATTAAGAAGATGGGCGAATGCCACTAACTCAATCGGATAGAAGTCAAATTCATTTTTTGGACTTAGTATCTAATACAAGAATATCAGCTGTCTCGTTTAAAGTCATCATTTCGTTAATTCTATGGTCGATACAATGACCTTGTCAGCAAATACAGTTTATCATTGAGTCAAATGCTGACCGACGTTTTTTATACTAATTGTTAGGCCATTATTTACACACTGAATTGTCGACGGAGTTTTCCGTTATTTCCCGATCATGACAAGGTGCACATGGCTGGTGTGACCGGTCGGCAGGGGATGCTCACTCCTCCATGGCACCTGATCCCACCTCTGATGTTTGGAGGTCCGTGTTTGCCCTGCTCCTATTTCGTATTGTTTAATGGACTTTTGAGCTTGAATACTGTTCGTTATCTCCATATATTTCACACAATGTTTTTATCATTAAAAGATATGAAATTTTACGAAAGAATACTATTTTACAGATTTTTTCCCCTTTCAAATTATTAATGATAAAAAAAAAACTCAATTGCATTGCTTTTCAAAACCGTCTGTGGAAAACAAGGACAATATGCTTCTTAAAGTCAATGACCAAAGCAGAGTGAGTTGACTATTTATACGTACTAATATTACTAAGCTGTTTGAATTTTATTATCGATAAAATTATTGATTACCTAATTAATATTTAATTTTTCAAATTAAAAAAATAATCCGTGGAGATCGTTATCAATTGTGCAACGAATTTGACTGTCTTTTCTGTTATTTTATTAGGCTCATCATCAAATGAACTTTAAATAATATGCAAATTCGTTTAAGTACCTTTACTCTTTTGAAGTTGTAACCCAAAAGTTACATGAACATATGACATTTTTCGATTGTCTTAAGTGTTTCAGGCATAGAGAAGCCATGCACAAGAAGCAGTTATGAGGAATATCTTTATAGGAGTAGCAAAATAATTTAATATAGTGTAGCTATCCATGTTGTACTTTTATCAGTGTAGAAATTTTTCGAAAGAATTTTCTTTGCTCATTCAGAAATAAAACATGAAAATTCAAAATTCGGATGAAATATGGTCATATTTTTAATGAAATCAAGAGGGCTTATTATGTGTAGATGCAAAATAATGCATGCTAAAACGCAGTACTTAGGAAACGAATTATCAGTTAAAATCGGCTTACAAGTTAATAAAGTCATGAAATGAGTGATGGGTGCTTTACTGTTGCGGATCTTTTAAAACAGAGTAACTCGGTAAGAAAAAAATGAAAATACTGACAAAAGAGCCTATGCTACTGAAACAATCGTTAACAAACGATATGTTGGGATGTATAGAAAGTTTTTTTATGGGTATGGCGTCAGACTGTGTGTGAAATGTATAGGTAGAGTATTTTTAGGAAACTCATTACGTTGTTTTGACGCTACAATCTTCGCATATCAACAAAATAATTACTTTTACATATGATATTGTGTTGATCTTGAATTTCTTGATTATATCAAAGATTGACTCCTCCGTCCGCAAACTTTTCGGACCTCCCTCGGATATGTCTCCCAACTGATTTGGTGTGCAAAGCACATTCTGAGTACGACCAACTTTCAAACCGACGCAGGTTTCTGAAAAATAAGTTAATGTTACAGGGCTTTCAACAGTATCGTTTAGATGGTCGTTATAATTACCTTATTTGCAAATACATCCTATCGTTGTCCATTTTTGACTAGTATGTTTCATACCGTCCAGTGCTAATATTCCATTGTTTTTATTCTAGTTTTGACCACTGAATACTCCGTTTAGCTGGTCATACATTTGGCTCTCGGAGGGTGTGACCGGTAAACCTCGGACACTCAATTCTTTTAGACACCTGTTCTCTACTCTTGTATTTCCAGGTATCCGTATTTATTTTTTTTACCTGTACTTTAAAATTAGAATCAGGTTAACCAAGTATATGAGACAACGGATATATACATGTATCTGCAACAACCATTAGCCTCTGAGTTTTTGTTCCGACGTTATAGTTTCAGGAAAATAAAACAAGCACATTCTCAATCATTTACTTTCCTTCTTTATATTAGCTATATCTTTGATTGTTATAATAACTCCGTTTAAAACATGAAATTCATTTTTTTTTATTCTTAGACAATTTACGCTATCTAAATATACATATATTTGATAAAACATTAAAACAACCATAAAACTATTGGAGCAATAGATTTGTCCATACACAGTATTGATTAAGCATTGTTCTAAATCATAGTCTTCTATCTGATATGTATAAAAATCATTTGCATCATTTTGCTCAAATATCATTATGATGATAAATAACCTTAAAAACACATATATTTGTAAGAGATGACAGGACATACAATAATGCAATGTAATCTTCGTCATGGTCATTTCTAATGTGAAGTGCATTTACGTTTACTAATGAAGAGTAAATTTACGATAAGATATATGAGACAAAATAAAACCAAAGAAACAAAAGTTAATCTTTTTCTAAATATTCCATGTCTTCTTTCTTCAGAAAACCTTTCAGACAATCTATCGAGTACTTCCAAAGGGCCTCTTGCTTCTGCTGGTCTCTAAAATTTAAATTTAATTTTGTATTTTGATAAGTGATTTTAATTTTATTTCGTGTATTATTGTCATCTGCATATGGAGTTTATGTCTCAAGTGATTCGATACGCAGGAGCATGCTCTATGCAGAAACTATTTTAAGATCGAGGCAAACTATTGACAAATAAGTTGATGATACGAGGATATCAGCATTACTGTTCTATGTTTACATTTCACAAATTCTGTGGTAGATACACTTGAAAGTAAACATAATTAATCATTAAGAAACCATTTTAAGATCGAGGCAAACTATTGACAAATAGGTTGATGATATAAGGATATCAGCATTACTGTTCTACGTCTACATTTATCAAATTCTGTGGTAGGTACAATGACCTTGTAAGTAAACATAATTAATCATTAAGTCGAATATTGACTGATGTTTTTCATAAGAATTATTAGGCCATAATTTTCACACTGAATTTTCTACGGATTTTCCCGTTTGCCCAGTGATGACAAGGAGCATACAGCGGGTGTGACGGGCCAACAGGAATGCTAACTCCTCCATGGCACCTGATCTACCTCTAATGTTTATTTGATTGATTGCTTGTTTGTTTTTTTAAGGTCTGTGTTTGCTCTGCTCAAAAATTGTATTGTTCCTATGGATTTCTGATCTTGATTACCGTTCGTATCACAGACTACTGTTTCTTCAATAAAAATAGGAGCTCAGAAATTTTCATATCTTGTGATTAGTAACCAACAAAATTAACAACAAAATCACTCTAATTCTACAACATAAATACTCTAAAAAGGATGCTGGAGTTCCTCATTGACAAAATCTATGTAGTCTATGGAGATCAAGTCTTCCAATGAACTGGTATTCGGTCGGGCACTAATTGTATTCCTTTATTAGCAAATCTGTTTTGTATTCCTATGATACAGAACTTACTTAGAAACTTCTACAAGAGAAGAAGAAGAAAAGACTTGCTGTGGCCCTCATATCGACGTTCAGATATATCGACAACGTTTTGTCAATTAAGGAGGAATGCTACACCAAAATTTGATTTAATGAATAACATCCCTTTTGAAACTAAGGTGTCAGCATTGAAAGACTGAAATTAGCTCTTTATTATTCTTTTTTTTTCAGAGAAAATGAAAAATTGTTTTATTTGCAAATAAGATGCTTTAGGGTTTAAATTTGATGTAAATATATGCCTTATATGAATATCAAATAAAACATGTCAGTAATGGTCAGAGAGACCTTTCATTAAAAAAATATTTATGAAAATAAAACATATTTTCTTTCAAGTTTTTAAACCTACGAGAAAAAACATCAAGAAAAATGTCACAGCTATTAAGGATATGTTAGCCAATCTTATTTTCAAAAATGAAATTGCGAAATTCAAGAGAAATTAATTATTTTAAAATTTGGACCGATCCCGATTAAAATTAAACCGATCCTAGTTTAAATCACTACAAAATAAATAAAATAAAAATTTAAAGTTTTTTTTTAAAATTCATTTGCCGCTGAGATATCTATTTGATGTAAAGTTCAACTGTTTTGAAAACCATATTATACCCAAGCAACGTAGTATTCCTGCAAAATTGTTATTTACGTCCATTTAATATGATTCTGGTTGAGATTCAGTTTAATTTTGATCTGGATTGGTCAAAAATTTAAAATATTTTAATTTCCTTAATATTTCGCAATTTCATTTCAATTTCTTTTTAAAATATGATTATCTAACATATCTTCCCTTGCTATGACTTATTTCTTAAAGATTTCATCCATAGATTTATAAACTTTAAAAATATTCAAAATAATGTGTTTTATGTTCATAAAGAATTTAATTTTAAAAAAAAAATATTAAAATGTCTTTCTGACTTTTCTTGACATGTTTTATTAGATATCATATCAGGCATCAAATTTTAAACCCCAAAACATCTTATTTGCAAATATTTGCAAATAATTTTCAAATAAAACAATTTTTACAGTTTCTCTGGAAAATGCGGAAAAAAACTTATAGAATAATAAAGAGCTGAAACCAGTCTTCAATGTTGAATGCTTAGTCTAAAATATTCATCAAATAAAATTTTGGATTAGCATTCCTCCTTAACAATAATGACTTTTATTCTTAAGTCGACTTGATATATCCCAGTGAACTCAAAATTAAAAGCACCACAGAGTCTGCTAAGTCTGTTTCATATTTGTATGTTTAACTGACTCTAGAAGTTAACAGACAACTTACAACTAAGTTATATGATAGACGGGATATATAATATACTATATATAGAACTATATATGATTAGGGCCAACTGACAACTAAATTCTAGGACAGACAAGATCACTTCAGCTTTTCCGTCATCAACTTCTCTTAATTATGTAGTAATATTCCCCTGTCAGCTACATATGGTATTTATGTCTACCAACTTGTTTGATACTCAAGAGCATGCTCTGAGTATTATCAGCTTTTAAACCGAGGCAGGCTACTGACAGGTAAGTTGATGTTAAAGGGATTTCAGCAACCTCGTGTAAGGTCAGCATTTCGTAATTTCTATGGTCGTTATAATGACTTTTTGCAAAACAACCTATCACTGGGTCGTATTTTGACTGACATGTTTCATACCAGTCGCTAGGCCTTTGTTTTTATACCAAATTTGACTATGGAATATTCCCTCTTCTTGATCAATACATAGGGCTCACGGCGGGTATTACAGGTCGACAAGGAATGCTTACTCTTAGGCACCTATCCCACCTCTGGAATTTCCAGGGGTCCGTGTTTTACATCCTGTTCACAGATTTGTTTTTTTTTAGGTTGTTTCTTTTTAGATCAAACTCCGTTTGTTATCTTCACCTTTTTGATTTCTTACATTGCATTTTATATACAATATGGCATTGGTTTTAAACTGTGAATTTGATATGTGTTGTTGAAACATTCAACAACAGAATTATGATACATTATTTAAGTTTCAATTCGTAGCTTGCTGCACTCTGTTAATTCAAGGCAAAATGGTTGTTTTGCTTAATTAATGATGTTAATTTACCACTTTGCAAATACCTTGCCAGACTGTTTGCTTGAGTTATTTTCATGTCAATAAAATATGCATCTCTCGTGTCTTTGAATTTTGGGTTGATTGCTGCGGTGATTAATGTTTTAGCGCCTTCGAATGGAGTTTTTGTCTTACCTGTAAACAGATGTACAAGTAAAGTAAATTAACTAAGTACAAATCGACACACTTTATAATCCAGCTTGTTTTATTACCTGGGTTATTTTCACATCGTATTATTTTTTTCCTTTCGAACTTGCAAACAATTAACCCTATTCTGAATCCACCAAAAACAGCTGATATAGTGCTGTTTTCTTCGAATTTGCCGCACTTTAAATTTCGCCCAATTGGAACTAGGGCAAAAGGAGCGAAAATAAAACGAAAAGGGCGAATTTGTTTTCTGTATTATCATATAAATATTTATTGTTTTTAATACAATAAATTTCCTTGGGCTTAAGATATTTTCTATTAAAATTTCTTTTCCTAGATCAGTGAGCAGTAGTATTAAAGGTATTATATATACACATACATACCAACTGCTTTTGATAACTGAAAGAACACTCTCCAGAGCTGTAATTCTGTAAAACTCCTGCTGATTTCTGTTTCAACAATACCTGGATGTATACAGTTGACCGTCACATTGGTATTCTGTAGTCTTCGGTTTAAAGAATACATCTGCATGATCTACAGCAGGAAAAGAACTTCTTAATAAACTATAAAATGTTATAATCTAACGTTGTTCTAGCTGCATTTGCCGTCGCTTTATACAACAAGGTAAAGGCGTATATGTATGTTGTTAAAAAGTTCATTTATGAAAAGTCTTAAAATTAAGCTCTCGTTTGTTGAAAAAGATCCCATACTGAAATCATTGTCTTAGACTACAACTGTGAGGTAATCATTAATATTTTGTGGCTTGATTTAACATGAAAATTGATAAAACTTTATTATTCATATTTTTCACTTTTTTTTAAAGTTTACTCTGTGAATTTTACAAGAAACTAACTAGCAAAGACTGATAATGTATTTGGTGGCCATACCTGGTAAAGCTTAGAATTTCCGTAATACAACAGTCTCTTGAAGTTTTCCTTTGTGTGATGCTTTCCTTGTGCTTTCTCCAAATCAAAGCTAGCAGCTCGGTGTGCCTCACTGGACACTAAAACAAGGCGACAGTCGTCACCTGAGCCCAGCATTACAGGTAGCAATTTGGAAATCAACAGAAAGTGTCCCAGGTAATTAACCTACAGGAGGGGAACAAGTAAATATTGACTTTGGCTACTCTTTAAAAAACTGAATCTGCGAGAAATATAATTTTATTTTTTTTAATGATATCCAATTTTTCTTAATATAACAATCAAAATTTCATACGTAACCTGAAACATGATTTCATAGCCATCTTCCGTGTACTCTGAAAGAATATTTTGATATTACTTTTTTATAAAAAATATTATTTCAGATAATCACAAAACAAGTAGGGGAAATTTGTTTCAAAATACATATTAAGATATAACTCTACCTTGCTCATGTAGAGCAATTCCTGCATTGCAAATTAACAGGTGCAATTTGTTTTCCTTTTCTTTAAAGTTGTTTATGAAGCTTTCCACAGATTTGAGCGATGCAAGGTCTAGAGCCATGAATTCCACAGCCAGAGTCTCACTAGAACAAAGTCCAGGCGTACCTTTGGTCTTCTCTTCTCTAAACTCTTTCTGCATTTTCTCAATAGCCTATATAAACGGAAAGATATTCTCTTTTTCTAAACTTTCATTATACATCTTGTGAGAATTCTCCTCCTTCCCTACATTATACAAGTTGTATGATATATTTTGTCAAGCTTACTCTCTGTGCACGTTCTTCAGATCTGCAGGCGATGATTACTCTTGCCCCCATCATGGCTATCCATTTGGCTGTTTCATATCCAATACCTAGAGAAGATAAAAAGCACAGAGCAATTGTCTCCCAGATTATATAAAAGAATTTAATTGATATTTTTTTCTATCACGTACATTTTCTACCACTGTGCTATTTGAATGAAACTTGTAAGGTTTATTTACATTTCCTTCAAACCATTGCAATCGTTGCGAAATTAATATCGTTACTTGCAGTTCAACTATTTTAATGTTTTTTAAATGATATTTTCTTCTAAAATATCCTTTAAGTGTTTTATTACCCTGGAAAAAATATTCATTTGAAAATAATAATTTTTTTTATGTGAAAATACTCAAAAATAAGTTTCGCATGATACGATGAAAAAATACTGCTCACAAATGAAACAGGCTTTGGGTAAGTTTCTGAGTTCTAGAGATTTTAAAAGAATTAAATGGAATATTTGAGAAAATACATAACAAAAAACGATAAATGATAAATGGTAGAACAATATTAATAAAAGCGAGAGGTATATAGTACTCTCTGTTCAGTTTCAATCAAAATAGTTTTTTCTGCTTATTTGTGACTGTCTTGAATATCATACACTTCTTGACCCAAGAACCAAACTGTTTGCCCGAGTTCTTTAAGCCGAAGGCAAACAGTTTGGTTAGAGGGTCCTTTTTTGTTAAACCTTTTACTATTTATCTTCCATATCTTGCGCTGGCTTCCATGTATGCGAAACTTTATGTAAATTTTGTTTACCGCACTGGACGGATTTAACTCGTTCAATTCCGTAACTGTAACATCAACGCATGCAAATAAGATGTAGCTGATCCCGCCTACAGAGTGACGTAAAAACCGTCATAGCGACCCACTATCTCATTGACAGGTCCAATAACTTAGAGTCCAGCATCGTTTTTTTTTTTTGGTTTTTTTGTTTTTTTTTTTTTGTTTTTTGTTTGTTTGTTGTTGTTTGTTTGTTTGTTTGTTTGTTGTTGTTTTTTTGACCGCTCAGTAAAACATTGGTAAGTTACACTTCTTTTTTAGTGTAGATTTATATAGGAAAAGATTTTTAAAGGTAAACCAATCTTATATCTTAACTGATAACAACATGTTTGTTGTAGATCGCCCGTTGAATCATCCGATGTTGCTTTATCATTAAGCAGCTCTAGTCGGAACTATATATTATTTTCTCCCTCCCATCGAACCAAAGTTTGCATTAGCAAGTCTAGAGTAATCTAGGAAGTCAATCTATTCATCCGGGAGTACTCGACTATATAGCTAGTATTTACAGTCATTCTACGATAAAAGGACCAATACATGAAAAAAAATTATTTCAAATAGTCTGTTGCATGATATAATTATCTCATGGATTACTGTACTTAAAAAAAAAGAATTATCCACAAATTTAGTATCGTAATTTTTCACAGCAATTTTGATATGTCAGTGGTTAAAATATAATGTTACGGGAGTTAATGCTTAAACAGAACTTTATATTAATTATTGTTGAAATTTTGAATTTGACTTATTTTTTGTTTTCTGATGTTGAGGATAAAGCATTATTTTTAAAGTCTGGTAAGAATCTGATATTAGGTTAAAATTTCGAGGGAAAAATCAGTAAGGAAGTTAATTGTTACGGAAGTTAATTTTCAGTTATAAAAGTTTGAATTTTCAGCATTAGATCACAGGCACTTGGGAGCTGGACCTCCCCCCCCCCCTCCTTTTCTTTTTTTTCTTTTTTAAATCTTGGCTCGACACGCCTTTTTCCTATTTTTGTACTCTAATGTGCACTACCAAATATCGATAATGTAACTCTTTTGTCACAATAAGATGTTTTTAAAAATACATCGTTTTCGACTGATACATATCTTTTAAAGTATAAATATTATGTTAAAAAGCAATATAAAGAATTGTTAATTGGATAAGTTTTTGTAGAAGGACTCTTTATGATACTCTAACATTATTATTTCGTTAATAAATCAGATTATCTGACCGAAACTGAACAACGGTCAATAAGATCTAGTGCCTTGATGAACTCTCACTCCTCACTCTGACCAAAGTGCATCCAAACATCAAGACTGAGCAAATTTTTCAAAAAGTTTCAACTTTCATCACACTAACATGGTTGCAATTAGATTCTATATGGTGTTTATAATAATCAAGTGATATATTTTGTTTCTGATCATATCAACTCGTGAATAGCATCTTAGATATTTACACATGTATGACTATGACTGTGTTTTGAGTATTTGACTTTCCCACTACCCTTGATATCATGGAAACAAATCATCTCCTTTGACAAGCTCTAGGACTGCTCTTCCCCTCCAAAACACTTCAAGTTGATAGAAAAATTCCGACAACAGAGATTCGTTGGTTGTAGGCCAAAAAGTTCCTATACACCTGTACAAAGTCTTTTCCTCCAGATAGCCGTTCATTACAATTAATAGCTCTGACCGAACGTAAACCTACATTTAAATTTACGTCTTTAGTGAGTTTCCATACTACACTTTAAGTGTTTATTTTGTATTTCTAGTTATATGTTAACCGACATGGGTGTATCATTCATCCGTGAGTAATAATAAAAATTCGTGCATTATTCTGAAACTAAGGCATGCTATCTTTACATGTATCTGAATCAAGTGATTTCATCATGCAGTTACTCTCAGGTCACACCTACCCGTATTTCCGCCGGTGACTAGAACTACCCGATCAGTGGTTAGTGAAACCTGAGGCAGCGATTCTGATCCTCCCATGATGAACCTTAAAGCATCTTATCAAGTCCAATTTCAGAAGGGGGATACTGAGTGTTCTAAATATTTACATTCTGTTTACTCAGATTGTATAGTCAATAGTGTTTACATCCGGATGATTTTCTATGGTGACCCGTTATCACCTGAAGTGTCTCTTCTTAAAAACAACAAGTTTTATTCATATTTCTTTATGAAATGAATTATATAGCCTAAAAACTCTAGAATTTTTTTTCGTTGATTCCTTTGCAAAGAACAGAAAGAGAAGTGATTAGTTTTCATAAAGATGACTAAATTAATAATGGATACAGATCTTTAAATAACAAAATTTCATGAAGATAATGCACTTCACGGCTCATAGAAAATTTAGAAATAAATGAGAGATTCAGTGCATAAATGATAAATTAATCCATTGTTTTAATGTCTAACCATTCAAATTTTAAAATCTTTGTTAGTGTTGAAGATTAATTAGACGTAATCAACAAATAAAATTTATAGAGAAATTATTGATGTTTCGATGCCAATACGATGATATAGCCTCCTATAAGGTGTACGATTTTCACCGCGTACGAAGTGTATGGCACGCCGATTGCTTCAAAATTATTTTCTGCACGACCTAAAACAAAAATTACACGAGTAAGTAAAAACTTACACAAAGTGAGGAAAATATATACGAACCTATTGAAATTTACACAAACTATAGAAAAACTGCACAATCAACAAAATATTTACACGATATAGTGAGGAAATTACACAAACGTAAAAAGGAAAACTGCACGAGTGAGAATACATCGACATAATATGCTACGCATCCTCATTGCGCACATTTCATTAATATTCATTAGAGAACAGTTCAATGTGGTTTGGATGCTTGAAACATACTATTAAATTTTTACAAAAGGAGGAGTAACGTGTTGGTAATCTTTTTAAAAAAGATTCTTTTAAAATTCCGCTAGACTCTCAAGAATATATGTACAACGTATATTAATGTAGATAAATTGACAGGCACACAGTCTTAAACTTGTAGTATATGAACAACCCCGAATAAAAAAACATTCTTCACAGATACTTGTATAGATAATGTAAAAAAAGGGGGATGCATATTACCAGTTGTGTGTTTAATTGTTGGATTTTTTTAAAGTATGTCATTCCTCTATATAGCAATTTCTTTTGAAAGTTTAAAACAATGACATTTAGGCCTAAATAAAAATAAATAAAAACATGTGATATAATACAGGAGAGTTAACAACAAATCAAACTCTTCTCCTCCACCACCTACTGTGTGTACTTTTGGTAATAATCAAGGATGTGCATGCGTGACCTTTTCATACAGAGATCCTTCCCTGCTGGTTCTGGAACGAAAGACACATGTACGCTACTCGATTTATAGCTATTTGACACACCAATAATACCTTTTGATTAAAGATTATATTACTAGCAATTCATAATTTTTTTTTTTTTTGAAGCAATGTTGCGATCATCTGGGTTGTGGAATTTGACCGAAAACTTTTTGGAAGTCAACAGTAAAGAAAATCGAGCAAATATTAATTGTGCAACTTAAATTTTAATATTGAAACGCATATCTCACTTTTTGGTATATGTATGTAACAAAGTACATGTAGTACATGTAGTCTTAACTTTTGAGCAACGTGTGGTGATTTCATAAAAACTCCACGAAAATGTAGAAAAAATATACAGTCGTTTTACTTATGTAAATTAAAGTTTAATTTACGTTGTTTTTAATGTATCGGCGGTAGTCTATTTTGAATAGTTGAAATGCATATAAAGGAGTTAAGAAAATTAAATTTTAAAGTTATAAAATACAGGCAAGTAGTATCGTTTTTGAAAGCGGGGGAGGGGGGGGGGGAGTCAGTTTTTTTTTTTTTTTTTTTTTTTTTTTTTTTTTTTTTGACAACCTAAATGAAAAAAAAAAAACAAGACAAGTATTTTCGAAACACATTATAATACCAAATTACTTTGATTTAAACTATCCTACAACAAAGGGAGGGGGCAACCAGCTTTTCAGTGGAAATTTACAATAGAAGTAGATTATGTTTGGAAAAAAAAGTGGGGGGAGGGCAGACCCCTCCTGATGCTACGTGCCTGAAATATTTTCTAAGAATTTAAGGGTACATAAAATAGTCTATCGAAATCAGGATTGCAAATCAACTGAACTGTAACGATATTGTAAGACCAAATTCAAGAAGACATACAAGATGAACTTAATTAGCTGGGACTTGGCTACACATGCACATTTATTTTCAATGCAGATTTTGACAATAATAAACACACGGTAATAAAACAAAGATTTCTTGAGGTTTATATTCATCATATGTTTTCTTATATTTATTCGTAGTCATCCTCGAAGTAAAACAAGACCTGGTTGATGCCATTGATGCACATGTACAATATTGCTATAAAGCAAACTTTTTAATTATTTGTACATGTATACGTACAAAATACAAATTGCATAGATTAGGCTTTTTAACTCATAATCTGATTTTTCAAAAAGGTTAGATATGCACATGAATAGTCTTTTAAAAAGTGAATCTTGTATCAAATATGTTCCTTGAATGTTATTGAAGATTATTTTCATTTTATAATTATACAGTCATGTTCTTTTTATAATGACTATAGATTTGGGTAAAAAAGTGTTAGCCTATTACAAAAACTTAGTGTTCGGAAAATAATTAAAATTTTATGCATACGAATTCGAAATGTAAAGAGAAATTGTTGTCTTGGAAAATATTTGTCAAACCTCGAGCTCCATAAAGAACATGATTTATTTGCATTATTTAAGAGTGATACAACACATTCTTTGTTCTTTCTATTTATTATAATATCCATTCCCATTTTCTTATTTGTAACATTGTACGTAGGTGTATTTAGTAATTCACTATGTTTTAAAATTTCTGATGTGTCATTATAGTCCAACGATTTGAAACTTTAATAAATATATAGATTCAGATGTTGCTACTCTATCAATCCACGAACCAGATCCGCCACTGATGATATGTTTTACCGGTGCCAGGATCATTTGAGTAGAGTTTTGTTATTTCATTTGGACAAATTTTAAGTAACAAAACACAAAACCGCATGTACTAAAGCACATAGAGTATATATATTTTCCCTTTATCTGGTCCTATTTATTAAAAGTGAAAACATTTATCAAGTAATCTCCATTACGAATGAGGGTAACGCTTACCCTTAGGAATGTCTTGTTTTTAATTGAGTAGTTTATGACTGAAAATATGTGATATCATGGAAGGAATTCATAACAGTGTAGGCTACAGATGTCCAACCAAAATTAATATTCTCATATTTTATAAGTAAAGATACATGTATAATTAGAAAAAAAACTAGATGAGATCTCGTTGCGAGCAACGAGTGGGTCTTCCGTCCGATTATTGATAAGATGAGATAAGAATTTGACTGAGATTTTCGTTCAAATACAATGATATAAATAAATTGTTAAGACAAACAATTTTCCTTTAGCATTGTTTAACAAAATATTGATCATTAAAGGGTTACAGATTAAAGACTTTCAGCCCTTCTTGACCCCTAATGTGAGAGGTCAGCCCCTTTTTCTTTATATCATCTTAAAGCTCTCATGATTTTGATTACTTTTGTTCAACAACTATTCAGAAATTCTTTTTTGTTTTCTGGATATTTGCAAAAGAAATATTAAGGGCCGGTCCTTCAAGTCCTAAATGGGAGCGTCTAGCAAAAATTGAAAGAGTGCATATTGCTCAGAATATTATTTTGATCGTCTTTTGTTCAATACTGTTTATCAAAATATTCTTCCTTTTCGAGATATATTGTGGAAAAAATTATGCAATCTGGCCCCTAAAGATCCCTTATTGTGTAACATATCATATCAACATCAGGTTATTTAGATAAAGAGTGTGAAGATGAACTATTTCGCTTCAGTAATATATTACAATATACTGATCATTAAAGGGTTATTGATTGTATACTTTCGGCCACTCTCGGCCCCTAATTTAAGGGGTCAGACCCTTTTCCTTAAATCACCTTAAAGCTCTCATGATTTTGAACACTTTTTGTTCAACAACTATTCAGAAATTCTTTTTCGTTTCCGAGATATATGCAAAAGATATATTTAGGGGCCAGCCCTTCAACTCCTTAATGGGGACGTTTAGCAAAAATCGAAAGGTTACATATTGATCAGATCATTATTTTGAACATCTTTTATTCTATATTGCTTATCAAAACATTTCCCATTTTCGAGATAAAAAGTGCCAAAGATTTGGCATTTGGCCCCTTATGGCCCCTAATTATGTAACATGTGATGTGAATATCATAATATATAATTGGAAATTGTTGAGATAAACATTTTTGCTTTAGTAATGAATTGCAAAATATTGATCGTTAAAGAGTTATTGATCAAAGTCTTTTGGCCCCTCTCGGCCCCTATTTTGAGGGGCCAGTCCCTTTTTCTTCATATCACTTTAAAGCTCTTATGATTTTGAACATTATTTGTTCAACAACTATTCAGAAAATTTTTTTCGTTTCCCAGATATTTGCAAAAGAAGCATTTAGGGGCCGGCCCTTTAACTCCTTAATGGGGACGTTAAGCAAAAAATAAAAGGTTGCATATTGTTCAGAACATTATTTTAAACATCTTTTGTTCAGTATTGAATATCAAAATATTTCACACTTTTGAGATATATAGCATTAAAGATTTTGCATTTTGGCCCCTTATGACCCCTAATTATGTAACATATAATGTGAATATCAATATATGTAGTTGTAAATCGTTAATATTAACATTTTTGCTTCAGTAATGCATTACAAAATATTGATCGTTAACGAGTTATTGATTAAAGACTTTCGGTCCCTCTTGGCCCTTATTTAGAGGGGCCAGCCCCTTTTCTTCATACCACTTTAAAGCTCTTATGATTTTAAACACTTTTTGTTCAACAACTATTCAAAAATTCTTTTTCGTTTCCGAGATATTAGCAGAAGAAGCATTTAGGGGCCGGCCCTTTAACTCCTTAATGGGGACGTTTAGAGAAAAATGAAAAGTTGCATATTGTTTAGAACATTA